CTACTTATATACATACATATATATATATATATATATATATATATATATATATATATATAGTTTTAATGTGTGGTATATTTATGGTATAAGGTGCTCAATATCAGAGATAGAGCGTATCTAAATATAAATCTAAAAGTGATCATTGAAATAAAAACGGACTGGCGACAGGCTGTTTTCATGCTGGACGCAATCGTCAGGCTGCCTGACGATTGCATCTAGCATGAAACAGCCTGTCGCCTCTGAGTGTTGACTTCGAGGTTCACTTTTATATATATATATATATATATATATATATATATGTGTAACCCGGATATAAAGAGAGTTGTCGAGACCGGAGAAGAAGTCTCTTATATCCGGGTTTTCTTATATCCAGGTTTGGTCTATTTTATATACATTAACACAGGCTCTAATTTGGGACCAGAGAAAATCTCTCTTATATCCGGGTTTCTCTTATATCCGGGTCTCTTATATACGGGTTACATATATATATATATATATATGTATGTGTGCGTGTGTGTGTGTGTGTTATTAAAAGGGCAAATTAATCTTGCTATCATTTTGTGATAAACAGAATTTGTCTTTATATTGGCTAAAAATATCCAAAAAGTGGAAAAGATCCAATCATTTAATATTAACAAGAAAAAAAACCTGCTTAGGGCAGTGACGATTGCGTCTAGCATGAAACAGCCTGTCGCCTCTGAGTGTTGACTTCGATGTTCACTCATATATATATATATATATATATATATATATATATATGTGTGTGTGTGTGTGTGTGTGTCTGTGTGTGTGTGTGTTGTATTAATTTTATTTTTATTTTATTTATTTTTTATTAATAAGTTGTATAAATTAATCAGTTTGTGACCCTGGTTTTCACCCTTTTGCGATCATCAGGCAAACTGGTTTCTTTTTTAAAATTGGATCTATGTATGCTTCTTTGACAATGCTTGGTGGCAGCAGAGGGTATCTACTTCTGTATTTGTTTGGGGTGGTAACATCATATGCATAGACACATGTGTACGCATTTTGGTTCACGCCAACACATCCATATAGGCAATTCAAGCCTAGGCGCATATACATATCCCTGGGTTCGGTCATATATACATATATATATATACTTGGGAGAGGGGGTCACTATTTGCCCATAGCTGGGGCCTTAACAAGTGCTAACACCTCGGGTCAGGGTTTCTTTTTACGTTAATAAACGTTAAAACCCTTCTAAAGGTTTTCAACAAATAAAATCGGCTCTCATGGGTTACTAGGATTCCCTGAGTATGAAACATATCGAATATCCGACTGCAGCGTTGTTATAAAATGATTTAAAGACGTCGGACTTATTTCCTATGAATTTGTGTTGCAAACTCGTAAATTATATCGATAACTTAATTATCGGCCACTATAAATTAATTATGTTTTTTGTCATGGCCAATATTGTGACATTTTTCAGTGAATTTCTTCTGTGACTTTATTAACGGCCACTATCACTAAGCCGCTTCACCCAGAGCATTTAAAGCTGGTTAAAGCAAGGATTTACAAATGATATAAATTAAAGAGGATTTGAGATAATTAGAATTAAGTAATTCATCGTATCTAGAAGGTACCTCAACAATTCAAAAAGCACTGGACAGCCATTTCGTCCTATATTTGGGACTCATCAGCTGTGCGCATACACACGCGGATAATTTCACTTATTTTTCCACACCATCGTACACTGTATCTATCTCCCTTTTTATATCTATCTATCTATCTATCTATCTATCTATCTATCTATCTATCTCCTTATATATATATATATATATATATATATATATATATATATATATACTGTCATCTACAGACAGACAGTTTCGCTGTATCACAGCTCATCAGTGTGGCTAGACGTCCGGTTGCCTCTAGCTAGGATCGAAACCCGACTGTATAGGCACGGCAGAGATGTAGGTGAATTTAAGCGTATTTATTTTTAGATAAGCACACAGTGACTGAGAGAACTCGATTCGATTTACCTAAGAGTCATATTATTAGCCGTAGTAGTCACTGTTTACAAACCCACACTTAACCGAATAAAATGTCTAATTTTTACGTTTAAAATTGATGAATGAGAATAGAAATCATTTATTTCAGCAGATATACACTTTTGAACTTGTGATTTTTCTATATTAAATTTATATTGAACTAAATGACTAGACTGAAATTAAAAGGAATATTCACAGAGTATGGAGATAGTCATTTAAGCAGATAACTCACAGATTCTTTAAAAAGTAGCATGCCATGATGAAAAAAAAATGACCCAAACTTAACAATGTTTTATCGTCAATATCTTAACGCTATTATTAAGAGGAAAGACCAAAGGATTTTGGAATTATTAAGTTGTATTATTCGAACTTTTTAGAAAGTTCGATTTTTTCCTTAAAAATGTTGTTTTTCTTGCGTCAACGGAGGATTGTAAATAAGTATATAAACATTTGGTGCCTTTTTACGTTGAAAAACGCACTGATTTGGAAATTCTTGCAAAAATGAAATAATTGTTGGATTTTAATGAAATAAAACTAAGACTTTATTTAATTAAAAAAAGCTTTTAATTGCTTTCATGAATAAGATATATTGTGAAGATGTCGATGAATAATGAATTTTTAGAAGAATTGGTTTCGTTTTTATTTTTAATTTGAATAATAATAATAATAATAATAATAATAATCTATAAAGTTTTAAATCTTTTCTTCAGGTGGTTGGAATGTCGAACTGAACCCTTTATTTCGCTCACTGGGGTAGACTGTTCTAGTTCCACGTGCCATGTCTAATGGATGTCAGTTATCTCCTGTTAATTCCCCTCTCCAAGTCCTCCACCACCTTAACCAGGTGGATAAAGGCGTTAGATCCAGTGAAGGGACACAAACGGTTTGAGTTCAATACCTGGTTAAGACAGTGGCGAACTTGGAGGAGGAATTAACAGGAGATAACTGATAACCCCAGTGAGCGAAAAAAAAAGTGTTCAGTTCGACATTCCAAATACGTGAAGAAAGCAGGAGCGTACAACAGCCGAAAGGTTGTAATAAATATGGCAACAAAGATGAGGACAATAGTCCGAATAATGTACATAATACCTCAACTCAGAAATATAGACAGATACTGAAGGGTCGGAACGTTGTAATAAATATGGCAACAAAGACGAGGTCAATAGTTCGAATAATGTAAATAGTGTACATAATACCTCATCTCAGAAATATAAACAGATACTGAAGGGCCGGAACAATGTAACAAATGTGGCAACAAAGATGAGGACAATAGTCCGAATAATGTAAATAGTGTACAAAATGCCTCATCTCAGAAATATCGACAGATAATGAAAGGCCGAAACATTGTAATAAATATGGCAACAAATATGAGGACAATAGTCCGAATAATGTAAATAATGTACATAATACCCCATCTCAGAAATATAGACAGATACTGAAGGGCCGGAACGTTGTAATAAATATGGCAACAAATATGAGGACAATAGTCCGAATAATGTAAATAATGTACATAATACCCCATCTCAGAAATATAGACAGATACTGAAGGGCCGGAACGTTGTAATAAATATGGCAACAAAGATGAGGACAATTCGCGGAATAATGTAAATAGTGTACATAATACCTCATCTCAGAAATATAGACAGATACTGAAGGGCCGGAATGTTGTTATAAATATTGCGACAAATATGAGGACAATAGCCCGAATAATGTAAATAGTGTACTTAATACCTAATCTCAGAAATATAGACAGATACAATCTGGACTTCAAGTGTTTGCTCCATCGTTAGTTATCTTTGTAATATGTAATTTCTAACCTCCTTTCTTTTCTCCCTTACAACTTTATTCAGTATTACTCTACCTTGGAGGGTTCTCGGGACTTTTGGGTGAGCAATGACATAGATGGATATCGTACGATCTCATTACAGCTGATCCCACACCGTAAATCTCGAAAGCACAATAATTTCAGGATAATACCTTTAGATAATTTTTTTGAAAAAAATGGAGAGATAATTACGAAGCATTGCTGTGTGATCCAGAGCTGGCTCTAGGAAGACCGATTTAATCAAAACCCATATCGCTTGCCTCGTGAGACATTGTCGAACTCTTATTCCCCAAAGCGCCCCAGATAGAATCTTTATTTTTCGCCTGATATCGAAAGTGTGCGATAATTTCACTGGTGATAAGGGATTTGACTCCAGATAAGGCACCAAAAGCAATTTAATGAGCAAAGTTGAAATAAATAAGGGCAAATATTTCAAATGAAGACAACGATTCTCCAATGTGTAGTTACTATGGAAAAAATGTTTTTCAAAATCTATACAAAGTTTTAGAAACAAAGAAAAGAGTGCTGAACTGCTATGGAATATCAGTCTTTCTAATTGTTTTTTCTTCTTTTGAACGCGTTCACTCCAAGTAAAGCAATAAAGCCACTAAGACTAAAGGGGTTACTGGGTGTGGAAGAATTAGGAACAGAAATATTAATAATGAGCAGGAAGAGGAAAGAGTTATCAAGAGGACGGTATATAGCGATTGACATTGCATTTAAATTTTTTAACATGGAGCCGGAAGGGAGTTCCACAAACAAGAGGTTAATGGGTGTGAAAGAATTAGGAAGAGAAACATTAATAATGAGCAGGAAGAGGATAGATAGATAGATAGATAGATAGATAGATAGATAGATAGATAGATAGAAAACAAACAGAGAAAAAAAAGAAAAAGAAAAAAGCAGTGTGTTTTAACATTTTGGCGAAAAATGTTGTATTTTTTAGAAAATACATTTTTTTTTCCCCCGGGGAAAGGGCTAAAAATATTCCTTTTTTCGTCTCATTGTTTATGTTATCATCGCAATGTCACCAAGACCTTTTCCCACATTATTGAATATCAGGAGAGAGAAATGAAGTCTTAGAAAAGAGTTCTTTTCGATTCTGAAGGAAATAAGAAACGATTTTATTTCTACTTTTCTATACATGTCTTTTTTCTTTCCAGATCTATCTATCTATCTATCTATCTATCTCTCTCTCTCTCTCTCTCTCTCTCTCTCTCTCTCTCTCTCTCTCTATCTATCTATCTATCTATCTATCTAAGTCTGTTTCTGTCTAACTTATTTTATGTTTATCTTTCTTCGTGTTTCTATCTACCTTACTTTCTTTCTATCCATCTCAGACTGTTCATATCTATCTATCTATCTATGTTTTTTTCTCTATCTAAGTTTATTTCTCTCTCTCTCTCTCTCTCTCTCTCTCTCTCTATCTATCTATCTATCTATCTATGATATTTTTTCTGTCAAACTATCTATCTATGAATTCATCTAAGTTTATTTCTGTCTCTCTGTCTGTCTGTCTATCTATCTATTAATCTATATATCTATCTTAGTCTGTTTCTGTCTATCTTATTTTATTTTTATCTATCTTAATGTTTCTATCTATCTATCTATCTCAGTTTGTTTCTATCTATCTCAGTTAATTTCTATCTATCTATCTATCTATCTCAGCCTCTTCTTATCTATCTATCTATCTATCTATCTATCTATCTATCTATCTATCTCAGTTTGTTTCTATCTATCCATCTCAGTTAATTTCTATCTATCTATTTATCTATCTATCTATCTATCTATCTATCTATCTATCTATCTATCTATCTATCTATCTATCTCAGCCTCCTCCTATCTATCTATCTATCTATCTATCTATCTATCTATCTATCTATCTATCTAAGTCTGTTTCTGTCTAACTTATTTTATGTTTATCTTTCTTAGTCTTTCTATCTACCTTTCTATCTATCTATCTATCTATCTATCTATCTATCTATCTATCTATCTATCTATCTATCTATCTATCTGTTTGTCTGTCTGTCTGCCTATTTTATCTATCTCGTTTAATAAGTTATACCCAAAAGATAAATAAAAAGAAAAGGAATGAAAAAAAAAGAATTCTCAGCCGAGAAGAAGAGAAAAGAAAAAAACAAAGAAATGTGAGAAAAGAAATAAAGAGAGAAAGTAAATAAGTTGCGATTGAGAAAGAAAAGGAGGAAATAAGAAAAAAGAATTAAAAGAAATGATAGAAGAAGAAGAAAGAAAGAATGAAAATGCAAAACTGGGAACGAGAGATAAAATCGAAAAAAGAAATAACGAAAAACGAAAAATGAAGAAGAGAAATAAGAAATAAAAAGAAAAATAATTTGAATAAAATGTAGAAAAAAAAATGTAGAAAAAAAAATGTAGAAAAAAAAAAATAAAAGTAAAAACTAAAGAAAATTTTGAAAGAAGAAGCAATGGTCAAGCTTAATCCGAAATGAACAAAAGTAGGAAGAAAATCAAAGAAAAAAAAAGACGACCATTTTCAAAAAGCAACGAAACGAACAGAAAAAGTGAAGAAAAAAATGGTCAATTTAAATGAACAATGATAAAGTGGCATATAAAAAATCAAACCTGTGAACGGCGACTTAGACTCATTGAGAACATGCTTGCAATTATTATGTTCAGACAAAAAGAGGCATCAGTTGTTACCAAAACAAATCCTTCTCTGCCTACTTACCAAATATCAAGGAACAAGGTTAGTATCATGTCGTTTTGTACATGTTAAACAAGTGGTCATGAAATAATTGTGTTATTTAAATTCATACCATTATGCAAAGCAAAACAGATGTTAACACTTCCGCTGAAAACTAAGGAGATCTTCGTTTTTCTTATCTTGCTCCAGCTGGCTAAGTGCGGAAATCTACGTTTTTTGCCTACCGCTGGTATGAGTGTCCCCTTGCGCCATCTATCGTCAAATCATAAAGGACAATGCTTCAAAAGATCTCATGTGTATACCCATTGCTGAACTGGTAAGTCATTCCCAGGTATATCCATGAAAATGGAAGGCTGTAAAACACACTGGTGCCAGTTTTCTGTGTAATAAAATATATAGGTTGAAATTTCGCATTTTCTTTAAAAATGGCTGGCCGGATGGGGGCAAATGAGTAGTAGTGAAAGTGTTAAGAATTAAGAGATTTTTTTAATTTCATGAAATTTTTTTTTTAATGGTAAAACTTTATATGCACACAAATTAGAGAATGTGCAGGTTTATTGTAGATAGCAGCAACAGTAATTAACTCAAGTGATTTTCAAATTTCCTTTGATATTTCATACAATTTTGCAGATCATGAGATCCAAATGACATTATTACCCAGAATTCTAAGTAAAAAAGAAAGATTTTACACATATCTAGTATAAACATGGCTACACATACATGCATAGAGGATATGAGAATGTGTTCAAAGAGATTTGTTTATGTATTCTCCATCTAAAACACACATTTGGTTGATATTAATTACACGCTGACTATTGTCCTCAGCACTTTTATCATCACATATTGGCCATTGTGCCTCTAGCTTGCATTAGCTGCTTTTCAATCCAAGAAACAAAGAAAAAAAAGCAGACGAGTATAAAATGAAAGAAAAAATTAAAGTTAATTCTTTAATTTTTTCTTTCATTTAATTCTCGTCTGCTTTCTGAATAAACGACAGAATGTAAAGAAATTGAAAGAAGAAAAGAAAGAAAGAAGAGTTTTACATACTTGGGATGACTGTCTTTGCCTATATAATAAATAATTTCAATACCTCATCCCAAAATTAGACAAACACAAATATAAGTCTTAAAAAGCAAATGGAATTATAAAACAGCAGTAAAAAAAAAAAAGAATTTAAAAATGGAAACGCAAACAGCAGACGATAAAGAAACGAAAAAAGAAAAAAAAAAGAACGAAAGAAAAGTCCGGACAATGTAAATAGTGTAAATAGTTACAATACCTCATCTGAGAAATAGAGACAGATGTTGAAGATGAATATGGCAATAAAGATGAGGACAACAGTCCAAACAATGTAAATAGTGTAAATAGTTACAATTCTTCATCTGAGAAATAGAGACAGATGTTGAAGGTGAATATGGCAATAAAGATGAGGACAACAGTCAAAAACAATGTAAATAGTGTAAATAGTTACAATACCTCATCTGAGAAATAGAGACAGATGTTGAAGGTGAATATGGCAATAAAGATGAGGACAACAGTCCAAACAATGTAAATAGTGTAAATAGTTACAATTCTTCATCTGAGAAATAGAGACAGATGTTGAAGGTGAATATGGCAATAAAGATGAGGACAACAGTCCAAACAATGTAAATAGTGTAAATAGTTACAATACCTCATCTGAGAAATAGAGAGAGATGTTGAAGGTGAATATGGCAATAAAGATGAGGACAACAGTCCAAACAATGTAAATAGTGTAAATAGTTACAATACCTCATCTGAGAAATAGAGACAGGTGTTGAAGGTGAATATGGCAATAAAGATGAGGACAACAGTCCAAACAATGTAAATAGTGTAAATAGTTACAATACCTCATCTTAGAAATAGAGACAGATGTTGAAGGTGAATATGGCAATAAAGATGAGGACAACAGTCCAAACAATGTAAATAGTGTAAATAGTTACAATTCTTCATCTGAGAAATAGAGACAGATGTTGAAGGTGAATATGGCAATAAAGATGAGGACAACAGTCCAAACAATGTAAATAGTGTAAATAGTTACAATTCTTCATCTGAGAAATAGAGACAGATGTTGAAGGTGAATATGGTAATAAAGATGAGGACAACAGTCCAAACAATGTAAATAGTGTAAATAGTTACAATTCTTCATCTGAGAAATAGAGACAGATGTTGAAGGTGAATATGGCAATAAAGATGAGGACAACAGTCCAAACAATGTAAATAGTGTAAATAGTTACAATACCTCATCTTAGAAATAGGGAGAGATGTTGAAGGTGAATATGGCAATAAAGATGAGGACAACAGTCCAAACAATGTAAATAGTGTAAATAGTTACAATTCTTCATCTGAGAAATAGAGACAGATGTTGAAGGTGAATATGGCAATAAAGATGAGGACAACAGTCCAAACAATGTAAATAGTGTAAATAGTTACAATACCTCATCTTAGAAATAGAGACAGATGTTGAAGGTGAATATGGCAATAAAGATGAGGACAACAGTCCAAACAATGTAAATAGTGTAAATAGTTACAATACCTCATCTTAGAAATAGAGAGAGATGTTGAAGGTGAATATATAATAAAGATGAGGACAACAGTCCAAACAATGTAAATAGTGTAAATAGTTACAATTCTTCATCTGAGAAATAGAGACAGATGTTGAAGGTGAATATGGCAATAAAGATGAGGACAACAGTCCAAACAATGTAAATAGTGTAAATAGTTACAATACCTCATCTGAGAAATAGAGACAGATGTTGAAGGTGAATATGGCAATAAAGATGAGGACAACAGTCCAAACAATGTAAATAGTGTAAATAGTTACAATTCTTCATCTGAGAAATAGAGACAGATGTTGAAGGTGAATATGGCAATAAAGATGAGGACAACAGTCCAAACAATGTAAATAGTGTAAATAGTTACAATTCTTCATCTGAGAAATAGAGACAGATGTTGAAGGTGAATATGGCAATAAAGATGAGGACAACAGTCCAAACAATGTAAATAGTGTAAATAGTTACAATTCTTCATCTGAGAAATAGAGACAGATGTTGAAGGTGAATATGGCAATAAAGATGAGGACAACAGTCCAAACAATGTAAATAGTGTAAATAGTTACAATACTTCATCTGAGAAATAGAGAGAGATGTTGAAGGTGAATATGGCAATAAAGATGAGGACAACAGTCCAAACAATGTAAATAGTGTAAATAGTTACAATACTTCATCTGAGAAATAGAGACAGATGTTGAAGGTGAATATGGCAATAAAGATGAGGACAACAGTCCAAACAATGTAAATAGTGTAAATAGTTACAATACCTCATCTTAGAAATAGAGACAGATGTTGAAGGTGAATATGGCAATAAAGATGAGGACAACAGTCCAAACAATGTAAATAGTGTAAATAGTTACAATACCTCATCTTAGAAATAGAGACAGATGTTGAAGGTGAATATGGCAATAAAGATGAGGACAACAGTCCAAACAATGTAAATAGTGTAAATAGTTACAATACCTCATCTTAGAAATAGAGAGAGATGTTGAAGGTGAATATGGCAATAAAGATGAGGACAACAGTCCAAACAATGTAAATAGTGTAAATAGTTACAATACTTCATCTGGAGAAATAGAGACAGATGTTGAAGGTGAATATGGTAATAAAGATGAGGACAACAGTCCAAACAATGTAAATAGTGTAAATAGTTACAATTCTTCATCTGAGAAATAGAGACAGATGTTGAAGGT